TACACACATACACACATACACACATACACACATACACACATACACACATACACACATACACACATACAGACACACTAACTGCAAAGACTCCCATTTTGTGCTTCGCACATGGGAGTCAATAAGGCGATGCTTCAAACAATAACGAGTTTCCCAGTGTCAGAATATTTAATGAAAAGGTTACATTCAAATTCCTTCTAAACAGATGCATTTGTCCTACAGACATATCAAATGCATATAGTCATAACCTAGCTCTTTGGAATTTCTTTTCTGCATGATATAATAAACAAATAGTGAAGGTCAATATTAAGTTTTAATGACTCGAAGAGGAAATTACTGACCTCAGCTGTGTCTCGGTCATCAATATTTTCTCTGATGGCTATTAAAACTGAATATTCACCAACACAAAAGTAACTTTATGTTTTATTATACTTAAATCAATAAACACAATATAAATCAAACGTTGAAGTTTGAAGCAGACAACATTTTGTTTTTAGTAAATACTACAACTATTCATGCACAATAAAGAAATTAAGGTCACTGGATATCCAGTTTTGAATCCGAGTCTAAGAGTTTTATTCACCACCTCGTGGCTGCATTCTGACCAATCAACATGATGATCTTGAACACAAGGTATAATAATTTATATTAATAGATTTTTGAAGAAATAGCTATTGATAGCTTTAGAGTAGGATTAGCAATGTATTGCAACATTCAGAATAAATAGATCTGCACATGTAAATAGATTCTGCATAAATTATTCTTATAATGTGTACACATACATTTCAAATTTTATTTATCAAAGGATATAGAAATTTGAAAAGAAAGTTTATGCATTGTAACTACGCAAAAAACAACAATAGGCAAATAAAAATACAATTTAAAATCTGAATCAAATGTTCCATCAAATAAATAACAAGAATCAAATAAAAATACTCAAACTTGTTGGTTCCTTCCTAGTGTTAATCCTTACTCTGGCAGAAATTATTTAAAAACTGGTCAAAATACATACAACTGAGATTTTATTCTTTGGACTTTCATTCACAGTAAATTTCCTTGTCAATCGTGTGTTAGCCACATCTATGCTTGTGCTGGTGAAAAACAAGAAGAAAGGAACAATCTGCTGCAAACAGAGAAATAAATTTAATTTTGTAACCCGATCTACACAATAAGAAACCCAACTTTTAGCCAAACAGAGAATGCCATACTAATGAAAGTATTTTTTTTCCAGTTTATGAAAGTTATTACTGATAATGTAAATAAGTAAAGGTTCCAGAAATAGATATGAAAATGCTAAAAATATCAAGTACATTTAATTTACAACATCACTGTCTAGAATATGATCTGTAGATCATCACTAAAATTATCAAAACATACAATGAGTGGTACATTGTAGTAAAAAAATCAATTTAATGCAATGAGTGTGCAGCATTGATATATTGGCATGACACTCATTGCAATAATTAACAAACTCCTCCTCCTGTTCACATTTCAAGTACAGTATATACAGCACTCCATTTAATAATCTTTCTATTTACATTATGGTACCTACAAATACTGTTTGTTCAATTTGTAAAAAAAACCTGCTTACACACAAGGTACTTGTAAAAGCTAATTGAAATGAGTCAGTTAACTCACTATTCACCATTCTCATGATTATGCAATTAATGTGGTCAAATTTGTCAACTCTTATTCATGTTTGCGATAGATATAAAGATTTGGTTATTTTTTTTTACCAACATTGTTTACATGTTCATTTAACTTGCAGGATTCAGTGAAGGAATCTTATACTCATTTTCTGTTCAACATCTGTCCTTTCCATTGCCTGAAAAAAATTGATTAAAAGACACATTGTAAAATATTATGCTCTATATGATAAGTGTATACACTCATTGAAATGGCATACTGTCATACTTGTTTGTATTTGAATGCATTTGGTTGGAGGACACAAAGGAGAGGACTAATGTAAAAAAAATTTCAGTGAAAAATGTTGCAGGTACATGAAACCATCATGTATTTGTGCCTAATTTAAATTGCCTGTGCAATGCCCACCCACACGCTTCCCATTTTAGATCTGTGCCCCACTGAAACGGGCAATTATTGATTTTTTTGCTGAAAATGATTACTCATATCCAAGTAAATTTGAGATATTTCCCATGCTGTAGCCACGCCCACCTATCCTGAAACGGTCGACTGTTTCTGGATTTCCGACTCTCACCGAAAGTGCGCCACCAAATGCTAAAATATGAGAGGAAGCCATACCCCTGGGCCATACTTTTATATCACTGTGTCATTCAATATACTTTTAAACGATATACATTTTTTGACCGGAGTTTCTTTTTTTTTTATTTATTTTATTTTATTTTTGAGAGAGCAAATTGTTTTCACAACAAACATTTATGATTGTTAAACGTGGTGTTGTGGGCGGTTGCAGTAATGCGTATAGTCATAGTGCAAGTATTTACACTTTTCCAATCGATCCGAAGGTGCGAAATTGGTGGACGAAAGCTGTGAAAATAACGAGAAAAAGTTGGGGTGGACTTCCTCCTTACAGTGTCATATGTAGTGTCCACTTCACCTCAGATTCTTTTTTTCGAAAAACTGTCCTTGTCCATGACAAAACAACTAGGTTTTAACGAGAAATGCTGACAACTTAAACCTGGCGCAATACAAAACGTTTTCAAAAAAATAGATTCCAGACCAGCCCATGATCACTGAGGCGGATTTCAGAAGGAAGAGAGACGTCGGGTAAGTGTTTCAAATGATTTGATTTTTTTTGCGATTATCGCTTTATAGAAACCACCCCTGTTATGTAAAAGGTAGCAGTAATTTTGATAATGATATGAAAATGAAGCGTTGGACAAACAGGAAATTACGCAGCCCTCAGGTTGTTTTCATTTTCGCAGGCTAAAAGTGTCTGAATTGTTCGATAATTGGTGCTGAATGTTGAATTCACACCTTTGTTGCCTTTACTTGCAGCTTGATCTGCGTAATAATTTATGGAATAAGAATCCGGGTTTGGGCTGTCAATGTATTTTTTTAATATGTCATAATTATGAAATTCACGCTAAATCCACTCTGAATTTGTCTGTATGTGAGTTGCTCTCAATTATTTTTGTTATCCAATTAAACTCAGCCATTCACGCACTTGTCCCAGTCATGACCCGATGCGTTCACCCATTACAACAAATTTATTTCCACGCAGCAGTCATTTATTTAGTAACTGTGTTATGTCGTTTTTTTTTAATTATTTCTCTATTTTATTGATCACTATAATTTAATGTTTAGAATGTCAAAATATGTTCTCTTTTTGTTTTAATTTTGAATGTGTTTTTTCACTCAGACGATAGATGAAATTGATGGGCATATGTATGTCATTACGACTTGTCCTTGTATCAGCTTTGAACAAAATTGTGTGTTTTCTGAGAAGTAACAAAAGTTGACAATGATAATTAAGAAGAAAAATTATGAGAACAAAATTTGACAGCTAGATAATATAAACAATGTTTCCTTTGATTATAATCCATGGTGCGATGAAACTAAAACTGTTGCTGATATACTAAGATAAACACTATGTACCTTTTGAAATTCTTCAAATGAAATGAGACCGTCATTATCATTATCAGCTTCCTGTATAGTTCTATCTGCTATGCATCCTAACTGTTCTTCAGATATATTAGCACCAACCATCATTTGTAATACCAATAACAATTCCTCTCGAGATATTTTATCATTGTGGTCTACATCATACATTTTGAAAGCAACTGAAAATAAACACTCACGCAATAAGAAACTAATATTTGTGTGTTGTACTCATGGTTTACATGTACAATGTACTCCTACCTACCAGGTATATTCTATCATAGCAATATCATAATTTATAGGAATTTGTACAGGAGCATATTGACAAGAGCTGTACGGTAGGTAATAACAGAAATGTCCAAATAAAAACATACAAAATGTAAATATTTTAGAAAAAAAATAATGGTGTTTATTTGGTTAGCCCACAGTCCCTCTCAGTCAATAAGTAATGATCAAAATAGTCAAAAAAAAATAAGGGGAAAAAATGAGGGTCGTAGTTTGTTTCTTTTGTGTGAAAGGTGACTTTTCAAAGAGCTCAATTATGTCAAACATTTCATTGTCTAATGTCCCATGAGTCGGTACATCAAGCAATAACGCCAACCAGCAAATATGAACCACACAAAAACATTTTAATCTGCTGGTGGGTGTGAGCAAGAGGATTTCTGTTTTATTTACAACATTTGCAGATATTTATTTATCTTTTCTTTGTAACTATAGCCAAAGGACAACCCTATAACTTCTATGAGGTTACACTATTGATAATAATGTTTCTAATCAGGGGTAATCTTATTAAAAAAGGCAATTGTTACTTGTTTTTCTATTTTTCAAAATCACTATCAATCTTTCAAGACATTTTCTTGTTTTAGACATACTGTTATTTAAAATCATAATTGGATATTGAAATTTACCAGTCAACAACTACTATAAAACACGTCTAGCATGCAATTTTAGCTCATTTATCGACTACATGTATTTTACTAATTCAATAGAAATTCTATTATCACAAGGTGATTTGTAATTGAAATTGCGCTAAAATTCCTTCATTGATCAGCATTATCTAAAATGGCACAACATAGTTATCTCAAAGTATTCAACATTACATGTATGATACCACAAATGTTATGACAAAACACAATCAACAACAGGCTACTTACATTTCAGTTTTTCTTCACGGCTATTCAATCTATTGTCACTGCCATCTTTGACTGGTCTAAAAGTAGCTAACACTTTTACATACTGCTTAAAATTTAACGTTGAATCATGGGTTTCCCCGAAAAAGGCATGGATAATTCTGTCCCCAAGTGGGTTGATTGCAAGTTCAGGAATTCTCAAAAAATCTTCACGACTGAGAGAGGAAAATAAATTGTTATTAGGAAGAGCTGAGCAATACCATGAATAGAAGCAAAATGTACATGTGAGTATACTGAACACATTTCTATAATTTTCTAAAGCAAATATTTAGAACTACCAGGCAAAAAGTAAATTGATATTCTAACCTTGTTTCGTAATGTTAAAATATTACATACAAGAAAATTACAAAATAAATCAGGTTTAGGCTAAAATAAAGATTTCCTGGTCCTAGAGACTATTTTTTTCTATTGCCATTTTTTATTTCACTTTCACTGAATTTTGATAGAAACAAAAACAAAAAGTTGTGAAAGGAAACTTTTCAACTGAGCACACACAAGAAACAAATAGTTTTTTTTGGCCTAGGAGGTCTTAAATTTTGTTTGAAGCCTTTGACATGTTGAGTAATATAATGTGTACAGTAATAAATGTAGCAGTTGTGGCAAGCGCAAGATATCTATCTGCCTTGCTAATAACCAACATTTCACACATGGGATTCTCCGTTACATTAACTTACAAAATCAATATTCCATGTGAATTTATAGGATGCCTATTTTACTTGTGTTACCACTACAACTAAGCCAACTGCAACCATAATGTGTGTACTTTTAGGTTAGCTGTGTTTAAAAACCGAAGCAGAATTTGAATTGCAATGCATGAAGGGATTGATTAATGTGAAGACGTGAACATCATAACTTTCAGACATATTTTGGCCAAGTTACCCAACATTTCAACTAAATTTTGCAGACAGTATAACTTAAATACAGCTTTCACTGTAGTGGAATATAAATAACAAGTGAAGACCTGCAAAATGTGTCACAAATACATTCTCATACTATTGGTATATATCGGAGGTAAATAAAATGTACCGGTACTAGCCTTACCTTAGAAAACCATTATTACTCTTATCAAGACTATTGAAGCGGTGGTAAAGCCTTATTATTTGGTTATGTGAAACTGGAAGAAAAAAAATTGGATTATCATTATGACTACATATACATGTAGCATTATATGCTAAGATTACATGATAGCATTTTACTGAAGCCGAATTATTGTTCACTAGTAACCATTTATAAAGTGACAACGCATAGTCCTTGTACAGGCTCTGATACTGCATTCAGACGAATGCTCTTGGCACATGCGAGTCGGCAGCACAAGTCAAGAAAACTTTGTCTGAATGCTCTGGTACAAGCTGAAAAAAGACCTCTTTGGGCCCTTTTCTTGGACCCTGACCATCCTTGGCATGTGCAAAGTTATGTGCGACTGAACACTTGGCTCGGTTGTTGGATAGAATTCACATAAAATAGCAGATTGCATATAAATTTAAAAAAAATTAGAAATCCTAGCTGTATTCACAAAATTACCATCATCAAACTGTTGCAGTGCTTGTTTATGGGAATAATGCATTCTGGGCTTGTCTTTTTGAATTCCGGTACATATTTTAGTTTTTCCCTCATATGTTACTTGAGGTACCTTTTGATTTTATCTGAAAATATGCTATATTTTTATTGATTCTTTTTATGACGAATTATCCGAGAATGAATATATTTTTGCGATTTGCAATTTGTTATGGTTTTATTTCAACAAATCTTACTTTATCAATACAGGTAATATAATGCAACAATTTGATGTGCATGTCCATGAATTCAATACCGGTAATATTGAATGCATTGTGGTTTCCATACATGTATCAATGTTCTTAGCAAAACAGCGATGTAAATTGCAACATTGTCCAGTGAATTATTCTCACGATGACTTTAAACTCTTACTTGGGCGAAGTTGGAGCCTGAAGTCAAAGTCAATGATCCAGTTTAAAGTTACCCGTAGGTACAATTTTAGTCAAAAGGTAATTTTTGGCATTGATGAAAACATTATTTTTCTTTTTGGATTATGGCAGTTTGACATGTGTTGTATTATGTCTGACGAGTTATGCTAGTTTGTTAGATATAAGTTAGATATAAAGATAGTACTGGAGTGTTTATCTACAAGTCAACCCATGTCATTGACTACGGTATATGTTTAAATCCATCTAAAAACAGTGAAATTATTGAATCTCTTGAGAGGCATTACTTATCTTGACTATACTACTTTGAGCAGAAAATGTTAGTACTAAATATAAAATAGATAACATGTTTCATATGTGTGGAATAACTGTAGTACCGGTATGTCGCCCATTTTGCTGTCTTCCCAATATTTTTACTTGAGGTGCCAGTATCAGAATATTTTTTCGATTACATGTAAAATAATAATGACATAACATATCAACGTGTTCTTGAGTGACCAATAGCATGTAATTATCTTCTAAAGTTATTTTTGTTTTACTAAAATTAGAATATTTATTTTGATTTCCAGTCAGGTCAGTTATACAGGCCAGCGGTGTGAAATGTACACTCTCTTCACTTTTACCATTTTGCAAATATGGGTTGCATGGTGGCGTAAGAATTCAACATGTAAACAGACACTTACCACAATACCATGACGTCCATAGCAAAATACTAATAGTAGCCAACGACCATTACCTGGTGATTTTGCTGTTTTACTTTCCGAGGGAAAGCAAAGTAATTTAGCAAAATAATTTTGTCCTTGTTCGACCTCAAGAAAATGGTTGTCACTAGAGTTACGTACGGTTTAGTGAGCTAAATCCCGTGGGAAAACAACTTCAAACAGATAATTTTTGTCACTGTTTTTCGCGCTGATGAATGTTTAATAAACATATCGATTGGTGGGTTTCTGCTGCGTACTATATGAAAAGGTAACTGGACAACTGGACCCCAAGACAACTGGACCCCAGACAACTGGACCCCACACAACTGGACCCCGAGACAACTGGACCCCAGTCAACTGGACCCCCGTTTTACGTGACAGGGTTAACCAGTGACGGCACTGACGGGACGAGGTTGTTTAGAATGCCGTATCGAAATGGTTTTAGTTTAGAATGCCGTATCGGAATGGTTTTAATTTTAGAACGCCGTATCGAAATGGTTTTAGTTTAGAATGCCGTATCGAAATGGTTTTAGTTTAGAATGCCGTATCGAAATGGTTTTAGTTTAGAATGCCGTATCGAAATGGTTTTAATTTAGAATGCCGTATCGAAATGATTTTATTTTAGAATGCCGTATCGAAATGGTTTTAGTTTAGAATGCCGTATCGAAATGGTTTTAATTTAGAACGCCGTATCGAAATGGTTTTAATTTTAGAACGCCGTATCGAAATGGTTTTAGTTTAGAATGCCGTATCGAAATGGTTTTAGTTTAGAATGGCGTATCGAAATGGTTTTAGTTTAGAATGCCGTATCGAAATGGTTTTAATTTAGAATGCCGTATCGAAATGATTTTATTTTAGAATGCCGTATCGAAATGGTTTTAGTTTAGAACGCCGTATCGAAATGGTTTTAATTTAGAACGCCGTATCGAAATGGTTTTAATTTAGGGGTATGCATATGCATTGAGTTTATTTATATGTCCATTTCTTACGTTATGTGTTACGTATTGATGGCATCCGGTAGAGGTCAGTGACCGCGTCCTGTGACCCGCAAGTGATCTTTTGTCGTTGGTAATTAACATAAAATGGCGTGCTTTTTGTAAGTCTGCAAAAAAATCTTAACTAAAAGACAACGAATGTACTATTGATATTCGTCGTGGCACATTAACCATTTCTCTGACTGTAAAAAAAGAGGAAATTATATATATATGTGTTACCCAAGCATAACCATAGTTCTTCTGTGTCGATAAAAATAAAATTTAATGACGCAAAATTTATCAGAAATGACTATAATACCATCACAAAGACTAAAGACCGACACAAGGATAGATATGGACCCACAGCTATTCCTTGACAAAACAGACACGTTCATTTTAAAATTTCACAAACTTACATCCTGTTGTTCTTCGTATCTCTTCAATTTCTTCATCCCTCAAAAGTAAAGATGATCTGGAACCCATTTCACGCGTAGTTGTACTCCCCTGTAAATCAAATGGGAATACAAACCACCGTAAGTCCTGTACAATAGAGACAAAAATAAAAACGCAACTATAAATAGTGAATCCGGTCTTTTTCTTTTTCCGGTACAGCGAACCCTGACCTTTAGACTCCCTAAGCTGCAAAACATAGTTTGTACACAGTCTTTTGTGTATATGAGTGTTCAGATTTGGATTCGCAAACGCTAAAATATTGTGTTTATTTAGATCTACATAAAGAACAATATGATGATCAGCTTTTATTAAGTAGTCATAATTTGATATATAAATTCCATATTAATTACAACTTCTTAAACATCATAATCAGTATAGTGTTAGGGAGTATTGTCGCTTTGAACTGTGGGATTACTGTAGGGCTATCGTGGGGTCACGTCGGATATTATTGGTATGTATGATTTTTTGGTATTTTTTGTTGGAAAACATCTTGATTTATCTTGGTACCAGTTAAATATTATGACTCTACGTAGTGAAGTTGTATGTTCGATCGATTATGTCTCGCTTTTTCAGCTAGTTCAGTAGTTGTATGTGTTACTTTTATTTCTAAGTCTAGTCTGAATCCATATGATTGACTGTTCAAAGCCATTGCTTATCCGGGAATAAACTGCATTCAATATATATGAATCAAGATTATACGACTGTCAGCACTGTTTATACTGGTTGCTGGTTTAACCTGGTATATATAAAAATATAATAATTATTTTGCCAAAAATGTTACGGTAATATTATAGCACATTTCGCGAGAAACTCAGCAAGAGGAACATGCACATTCTTTGCTGCATTAGCACATACAGATTGAACAGGTGACGCATTCGTCATTGCCACTTGCCAGGCATCAGCGTAAATGCAATAAATCACACCTAAAATCATAATATTTGTGGTTTTCTTTCGTGCAAAAATAATGTATATAGTCAGTATTTAATACTGTCAGTTTGCATATGATGTACAATGTATACTACAAAGCAGGTTAATTCTGACTACACTCAATTATTACATTATCCCCCGTTGTTTTTCCCAGGGAGGTCTTGTATTTGCTTCAAATACCCTCACTTGTCTTCTATAACCAATGAAAACGATGCACCATGCACACAACCATTCAGACACACGCAAAGCTGTCAGCACAGGTGCTGTACTATAGCTGTGTGTGTGAGAAGAGAGGAATTTGACTACGGTATCCACATTTCCCAATTTTGAAGATTTTGCAGTTTGTATTTTTGACATAATATATAATTTTTTCTATTCATACTTTCTGAGATAGATCAATATATCATTATTGATATTAGAAATCAATAAGTAGCAAAAATAGAAAAAGTATGCAACATATACACAAGCAACAAAAATTGAAATAACAAAATTGCAAATTTTGTGAGGGTGTAAAATTGTTTGGAGTGTATATAAACACTGCAGCAGTACAAACATGTATAACAATTATATATATTCATATATTAAACAAATTAGATTTGGTGTTAAGTGTAGTGATTCACAATGTGTAGTGCATTACATTGTGTATGTGTGTCTGTTCAGAAAAGAGAAGTGCTGACAAGGTGTTTTTTTAGCTCCCGTGAAACGGAGCTTATGTGGTACTGGTGTCTGTGACTCTGTGACTAAAATTTGTTCCACTGATAACTCAAGATCTACAATTTCAATTCAAATGAAATTTAGCACACAGCTAATATATGATGAGTAGATGCGCTGATTAGATTTTGGTGCAATTCCATGCATATTAATTAGTCAATTATTGCATTATTAATTTATAACTTAGAGTCTTTAAAGTTTCTTAACAAATATTTGACTAAGTTGAGTAGCCTAATTTGCATATTGCAATAACGTATTCTGTCGCAAAAAAAAAAAGGTAATATTTCATTTGAAGGTCTGCAAATTTGGGAATTTTAGTATATAATGATTTATTATATCATGATGGATGTTATTTGAGCAGATACGACTAAAAACATCAAATGTATGCGAGTTTGGGGAGTACGCATGCGCAGTTACAAGAGTGACGTGGCCATTTTTTCAGTTTGACGAAAAAGCAGTACCCTTTCCGATTTTCATGAACGCAAGTTCAATTTCACTTTGTGCGTCATATTCATCAATAGACAAAATCGAAGACAGATGCCGTACAACTTTCTGCCAATCTTGATTCGTAAATGTGCTGGTTACATGTACAGTGTTCCTCTTCGGGCCTGTGTCGCTTAGACAATAGCCGCGTATTCACCTGCAGATACTTCGGCCTACTTTCAAGCATGAATATAAAAGGAAATCAACGATTTTTTTTCAGTATCGTTCCAGACTTTGCAAGAAATTTGTATAATAATCACAGTGATCACTACTATTGGGTTCAAAAATTATTTATGATCATTCAAAATATAGTGGCCATGGCTGTCGGTTCAACCCAGTACTGACCTTCACCGCTATTGCGACGCCACGAGCAGAGAAAAAGAAAGCTGAATCCTCACATCTACGCTTAATCCATGGATAAGGCAGACACCCGACAGCAACAGCAAGGAAGTTTGTCAGTTTTATTCAAGATATAAATTTTCTATTTTACGCATTGGAGCTACACAATGTGACTGAAAGCACTTCCAATGTGATCTAATTTGTAAACAATCTCTTTGCACACGACTCCCAGTGTCTTCTCCTCAAGCAGACAGTAATGTTTCACATTTGTTTTCACATGGTTTCCATCTTACTCAAATAAAACAAAGCAGTTGATTCCTATTTTACTTAGTGTTTATTTATGCACTCATTAAACAAATAGTAAATATGCGAGTTTTTTGTTTTTGTCAAACGAGGTATAAGGAAGACAAAATGGCGATAGTTTTGTGTCGGGTCGATCTCGATCTTCGGTTGGTATCAAAAGCATGTCTCACAAATGGACTGGTTCACTTACTTTCAAGGGCTCAAAGTCCGGACGAACATTAAACTACGATGTTTTTATTTATTTGTTCTAGATATGTTGTACAGACTTTTTAGTTGTACTATTTTGATGATTTAATTTCAAGAATCTGTCAAGGAAACAATCTGTTGTTACTTTACATGTTCACGTAGGTTTAATTTAGCAGATTTTACTTGTCAGCGAAAATTACGAAATTTGCCCATTGCGTCAGGAAGATCTATCCCGATTTGCTGCACTGAGGTTAATTGCTGTTTTTACTACTCCATCGCTAATGACACTAATTACCAAGAATTAAAAAAAACAAGTGAAATTAAGTCGCATTGGGAAAAAAACCCATAAGAAAATCAAAGCAAAAATTTTCCAACTGCAGAGGAGACAAACCCCGACCTCTAGAAATACCTCATTCATAGAGTGCCTCATTAGTGCCCTTTGTTTACAAGTATAGTGTCCTTGCATGTTTTTCAAAATGCCCATATCAAAATCATACATTTCCATATACAGTATGTCATAGATTCTCAGACATCTTGATTAATTTTATTGATGGATTGACCTACAAGCAATTACATTCACTTATTAGGCAAAGTTATACCTTTATAATACATGCTCTGATCACACAGGAGCTATTTACAGTTTAACTTTGATTAATTTTTACTATATGTATGTGTGTGTGTGTGTGCATATCTTATCAACATTGTGACAACTTCAATTTAACTTTACACCTACCAAATGACGACAAACCTAACATATGATGACCATCACTATTTTTTATAATTTATCTTAATATTTAGTCAAATTTAAGTCAAGTTTGCTACAGTTTATATTTCTATGTCAAGTCACAGGATGTACCGGGTATGATGTTATTTCCACTTTGTTACATTTTCATTTAATTAAACTTGAATTAAAACACAATTCTATATTGAATTGCAATGTAATTGAGTTTATTTAAACATAAATTAAAGAGTCGCATTTTAATCCTAACATAACACAACTATAGTAAAAGTTAATTCAACTATATTAAAAGTTAATCCAATGCATATTGTCACAACGGTAGTAAGATATGTATGTGTATGTGTGTGTGTGTGTGTGTGAGGTAATGATCAAACTGGCCATGGTTTGATTAATGTTGTATTATTGGATATATATTGTATTTAGTAGAATTTGATTTATGAAGTACAGGTGTAGTATATCCTGTATATGAAATAAAACAATTACGATGTTTGCAAGATATCCATATCTGAAATTATTAGCAAACAGCTAACAGTAACATTTTATTGTATCTTTAGAAAAAAACATTTCAGATGTTAGGAATAAATATTTAGATTTACTTAGAGCATCAGCTTGGAACAATTGTTATTTCTTTCAGCAGGAATTGTACAAGGTTATAAAATGCCTTGGAGGCTTAAATGTTTAAATGCTTAAAAAACTTTGTGCATATTAATTACCTCAAAAAATTAGATGTGAATAGAATTCTTGTTATAGGTGGACAGGAATAGATCAGACTGCAAACCACAGATGTACAAACAAAATTATCGTATTTTAAGTATTATAAGTTTTAGCACTGTGGATCACATTGTTTTCATGCTGGTCATCTGAAATAGCAGACCAATATAAGTCACCAAGCTTCTTTTTTGAAAGGCTAATCATAAATTTTGAATTAATTTTAAATATGCCTTCAATACTCTCAGCAAGAGAGAGCTCTTTCTAAGCTTTCTTTGATTTTGTTTATAATGAAGAATAATTCAGTTTATTTTGTTTAATAGGCATACATTGGGTGGTGACTACACTGAAACCACCACAGTACTGTACGCTCAAGATTGAGAATGGAATGTACCGGTAATCAATGATTTGATTCCTCGTCAAATTTGATATTTATAATCAGTACATTCCAAATTGAATCATGTTGGCTTTGCGAATCTCATCAAACTCGTGCATCAGAAGAGTCTTGTTGAATGTGGCCATGAAATCTACTGTAATTCCATGTGTCCATGCAGCAAGTTTCAGTGGTGGACTTTCCAACATTGGACACCATCTTGGAATGCTGGCAAGGGAAATGGTGGATAAAGCAAAGTGCCCCAATTTGGATATTATGGTGAATTCTTCAAAGAAGTTGTGGGATTTCAATGACAAAGGAAATTTGGATAAATTTGTGGTTGCTACTGATAAAGAAATGGGTGGAAAAAGTGAAGCTGAGTTTATAATGAGCAAAAATAACAAAGCTCTCTTCTGTGGACACTTGACAACTGAGATACCAAGAGATGGGGTAACTGAATATAGTGGATATTGTACTTTGAAATCAAAACAACTTTATGTAAGTTGAGTTGGACTTTATATGGCAATAACAGATAGTGTTTAGATACTAGTTTTCTAATTGCAAACCACACCATCTTCTTTTATTGTGTACAACCATTTTTTTTGTGTACAAGTAAGTTTTTAGTTCCATGGTGCAAAATTGTTTTAATGAAAGAAACTAAAATTCCTACTTGTAAGTTGTAGAAGATAATTCTACTATTCTAAAATTGTACATGTTTTCAAGTTGCCTTTTCCCATTTTTTTGCAGAAATCATTCAACAGAAAACTCCAGATGGACCTAACACCATATAATGTGGTAAATATGAGAGTTCGAGGTGATGGAAGGTCATACATGGTAAATTTGTTGACAGAGAGCTTTTTCAGTAACAATAAAGATGATATGTGGAATTATTTTCTGTTCACGCGAGGTGGACCATATTGGCAAGAACTCACAGTAAGTTACACATACTGGGTCCTCCAGTAAATTGAAAGAAGCAATAACTCATCATGTTTTAGCAGCTTATCTTGTAGTTTTGTAAAGCAGTATTTTATTGTTCTCAAACTTGAAAAAAGAAAGCCTTCATGATTAATTAAATGATGTTGTTGTTTGTTAGGTACCCGGTAATCGGAAATTTACATTATTATATGCTTGAAAAATTACATTGAAATTAATTTGTAAAAAGAAAAAAATACATTACTGATGAATCAGCGTAGGGAAAAAAAATTAATTGCCAAAACTATGAAATTGTTAAAGATACAAATGTACTACAATACAGCACAATACCTGGTGTTTATAATGTGTGGTGACATATATAGAAATGTTTACATATTAACCAATTTTAGAGGAAGGACTGCTCTAAAAATGCTGGTGTGCATAACAGACAAATCTATCCAGCTTTCACATGATCATTCTGTTCCGTCAAGCAAAATAATCTCAGTGTCACATGTATTTTTTTGTGCACTAGTAATAATTAATATTTATCATTGTCATATAGTGTGTTACATCTTGTGTTTCATTACAACAAAGGTATTTTAATTCAGCATGTTCACTCTACATTCACAGATACCATTTTCAAAGTTTTTCCTGACTCATCGAGGGCGTATACAAGACAGACAAGCATCGGTAGATTTAGAAAGGGTTAATGCCATTGGATTGACCATGGCTGATGCTGTGGACGGAGATTTTGCTTTGGAAATTGACTATATTGGTGTGTCTTATGATTATACGCACACAGAAGAATTTGCATATGAAATGTACGAGAGAAATCCTCAACCAAAACGTAGATGATGTGAAACTTACTTTTGAGTGCAAATATTAAGTTGGTAAATTTGAAATTACGATGTTATCAATAATTTAGCATTTGAAGATGTAGATATTTGAAAGTTGCATAATAGAGACAATTGCAGTGTATTTTTACTAGTTGTAATTTACAGTATACATATATGTGTAAAGATTGTCATTGCAGCAAACTAGTGTATGGTACATTTTTATTTGTGGAGAACGTCACTTTTCTAAAGTAATCTATTACTCTGATAATTGGGATTGTTTTTGATGTATCCATTTCTAATAAATATGCAATTTTGTTAGCAATTCAAACTACCTATTCCAGTGTCTCTGGGTTTTTAAAGGGTAAGATAGTGACTAGATTTCATTTACCCAATAGTGATTCATCTGGACGAAGTGGTCTGGGAAAATGCAGTTTTTCATCAAGCAGCATGAAGCATTCTACACACAAGATATTTAGTTGATTGATCAAAATATTCTCAAGAACTTAACAAGTGCCCAATTTGAAAATCCAAGATGGTAGTCAAATCATGCGATTGATTCTCATTAATTTATTTTTTCACACGAGAAACTTTGGTCATGCATGTTATATACAAAATATTAAGTTGCTCAGTTAAAGAAATGCTGAGAAACAAATGCCCTTTAACTGGCCATTTTTGCCAGAAATCAAAAATATCATTTTTTATCAAAAGCAACAAAAATATTCACCTAAATTAGAAACAAATGTATATGTATGTATAATATTAAAGCAGTCGGACTTCAACAAGAAGTTGAAAAAGTTGATGTGGAGTGGACGACGAAGAAAAAATCACTTGTCAATGAGTTCAGCTCTACAAAGTCGACAGTGGAGTTAAAACATGGGAAAAAAAAATTCTTTATCGCTTATATTTATTGCACATGTATTCAAATCACCAAGACCCTCAAAAGGTGGGCAAAGAGACATTTTTGATTTAATTTCAATTCAATATGGCTTCAAATGTGTTGACAAATCAAAATGGGAAAAGTCAAGTACACCAGTTAACATTTCTATTCAGTGGTTTTCTCATGCAATTAATAAAGGTGACCCAAGCCCCGCTGGCTTGGGATTTGCATGGGATGGATGAAATTTCTCCTGTACAAAGGAAGCCCCAAATTACCGGGTAAATGGTTCAACTGTTTTTGATCAGTTATTTTTCATTAATGATCTGCAGTATTATGAATTCAAATGTTTTGTGAAAGCATTGGAACAAGGTGATCCCGGTCTTTATGAACCTTGCATATTTTACAACCATGCAAAAAGTGTGTACATATTAAAATTATACTTTCCACAATCCTACATACAGTAATCCTTTAATCCATGCAACTTTATCATAAGCTCACTCATATGCACCAAGTCATTTTATTAATTTAAAATATATTTATTAAATTCATAAAATTCATGTATGCCCTGATATTACACAACAATATGTAAATAAATGGTCACTAACAATGTGCCCTCTAACAAAAATGGAATTCCCAAAAATGCTGTTGAGTAAGCTCATTGACTGCTGAGGAAAGTCAGTCTTCAAAAAAAATTGTAAGTGACTGGAGGCACAAACAATGTTGTGGCCTCTGATTACCTTCATATTTGCACCGATTTTGTTTATAAAATGTGAATTTTATTTGACTAAATTCCATAACTAGAAAGATATATTTAAAATCACTCCTTGACACAATTACATCACAGTAGATGTTTGTGTTGTTAACATGTCATATCACCATGCCAGTCTTAGTAATTTATGCAAATGATTCTGACATACAATGTATGAGCACAATGTAAGTATGGAAGCCCAGTGATGTGACCTTCAAAAAAAAAGTTATAATAGTACAGCATTTTCTTGAATTTGTTTTTCAAGAACCAGCAGCCCTCAATTTCAGAAGTAGTAGTGGCATATAGGGCCCTTTTTTTTTGGGTGAATTTTAAAAATGTTACGCAAGAAAAAAACCTCTAGCCTCACTTGGAAAGATAAAAGCTAGGTACTAATACAAAAACTGAATCTTGTAATTTCATACACAGTGTGAATAATGGGAGTGACAAAAAATTTTACCAGTACTATCCGCTGTGGACTGCATGAACATTTACTGAACTTGGGAAATGAACATAATAGAGACTTGGGAAATTTTAAAACTTTTTTTTTTTTTAAATGGCAAAAATTTATTTCAATGTTTTATATTTCTGTTTCAATTCCAAAAGATAAGGACCATTCAGAACATCCTAACATGACTATACAGTTACCAATATTGGAGAATCGAAACAAAACTCATACTATACATGCCAATTTTAATTTTGACAAAACAACTTTGATTAAAATCATTAATCATAACTGTATTTAATAAATAAGTGACCGGACAGTCAAAATAACTGTTGTCTTGGAAGTCGTACTAAAAAAAAGAAACTACAGCACAATAGATTTGATGAAAGGTAATAATCACATGGTTGCTTGGGACACATTAGCTTGAAATTGGATGTTTTCCCAGCCTTTAAGTACGCAATCAGAATAGTGAAAAGATAAAAAAAAAAAATATTAAATTTTCCACAAATATTTGAGAACATGTTAGAACAAAATGTGTATAAACCAAACAATACACATAATCAGATTTTACATTACCCAGAAAAACATGTATGGAATTAACAGAACAACAAAATTTTCACCACCATACTCAAACAAGTTTGAATGAAATCAGCCCGTGCATCTCAGAGAACTGACTGCAGACATGTTCAAGTACCGGGGTATCAGGATTTTAGATTGTTTTACATTCAAAATGGCTGCTAGTTGGCCAAAATTGGCATGCATATTGGGGATATCATGTATTTTTTTCATACGGAATTTGAAAGACATTGGTCCATGCATGTTCAGGAAATGATGACAGATCATTGTACACATACAATTTATACCGGGTCGGACAAAGTCTGAATGTTCCCTAACCCCTAACCAGTGTATAAAAAAACATGTTAATAATATTATGATTGCACAGTTATTGAGTTTTTTTAAATCTGTATTGCATAAACAATTGTGGGTCTTTTTCAATACCAAATTTTTCATAAAAAGCAACATTCGAAGGTAGGCACTCCAAAGAACATTTGTAACAACCGAGATGTTCACTAAGAATAAACAGCGTCTGAAATAATCTGCCAAAAAAAAGAAAAGAATTTTTATATTAATCCGCATGTTGTTGTAATCATAAAATAAAACAACCTCATTACAATGGTATACATTGCAGGTTACAAAGCCAGTGCAGTGACATCACAGATTTGACGAGTTGATACTTAGATTTATACGCCAATTATATATATACGTACATCATGGCATTATAAGAGTGGTGTTTCTTTGTAGGCAACTAGTTATAAATGCAAGAATTATTGACTCACATGTGCAATCAGCTCGGTTAGACATGCAAACAGTACACATGTTTGAAAACAACAATTAAACCACAGATTGATGCACGAGTTGGTTTATCCAATCTAATCATCTTGTTTTTGATTTGAATGAGATTAATGAAATAAAGTTTTGTTTATATTCATAAATACATTTGTATAAATATGTCCTTGTGTTGTTCACTGTAAGATTAATATTAAAACTAAACTTACAATTTTCCTAATTGCTTGCCACGATATGTATCATCAACAACAAGGTCTTCTAATCTTGATCTCTATAAAATAAATTCATTTTGGTACATAAATGATAAAATGGCTTTGAAAAGTAAATAGGATTATCAGAATAACTACCATATATGTGAAATGACAAAAAAAAACATTTATTTTATCCATTTTTATCTATTCATAGCCTCATTAACCCTAGTAATGAAAAATGTTATAAAACTAGCAGCCTGTCGGCTGATATAGCTCCGCTGTTTGTGATGCATGCTCTGAAAGCAATGACTAAGATGCAATTTAATTTTAGCTGCTTTAATATCGCAAGACACCAACTTTCTTGATTTTGTTGCAAAGAATATTTCACTAAAATTAGAGTTTTGAAGATATCGTCATGAAATTACCAAATCTGACATAGATTCACCCAAGGTACCTACAAATAAAGTTACAAAGCAATCAAATTAGCAGTTTTCAAAAATAAGTTAAAATAACGTTTTTGACCAAAAATTACAAAAATATTCATCAACATTGGAGAATTGAAGAAATTGTCACAAAATCAACAAATCTGACAGAGGTCCACCTGATATACCTACATATACAATATCAAAGAAATTGGACAAGCAGTTTTCAAGGAGAAGATAGCATTTTTGACCAAAAATATTCGCTATAAATAAGTATCCACACGAAATGAACAAATCTGAGAGAGAACCACCCAAGGTACCTTCCTAGAAAGTTTCACAGCTATACAGTTTGTGGTTTTTAAGAAGAAGTCGAAAATGTAAAGTTGATGACAGCGACGAGACGACGCCGCCGATGGACAATCAGTAATACTATAAGCTCCGCTCGACTTTGTCGACAGCAGAGCTAAAATATTAAGACTATAAAAAAAATGATTTTGAGAATTTGGACAAACTTATTCTAAAGCTATAAGCCCAGCAATGCAAAAGATGGTAAAGCATTAATCTATAAATAATAAATGAAAACAGACATGGTATCAAAGTTTTTCCATATAGATGTCCGAGACATCATCTACTTACCTCAGCACATCCACGAATAAATTTTTGTTCCACAACAACAGTCCCTGTTGCAACTATTTTGCCAACTGAGGTGTCTTCTATGACAGTGACATAATATGTGTTTGGACATTTCTTCATTTGATTGTATCTTGCTGCAAAATAGAATTACATGAATGAAGTATTTAAATGAAGCTGCTGTTGGTTTTAGGAGCTCATTTTTATTTTCATTTATATCGTAATTAACCCCACATATTACAAATTGCTTTTCATGTTATTTTATTTTTTATCTTTAAGAACATTTGAAACAGATATCGAAAACTCACCTAAAAACTGTTCTTTAGGAATGTCACCTACTACAGTGAGTTGTTTTAGAAGTTCCATAAAACCTGCAAAAAAGAAATAATTACCAAGGATTATACTGTATTATATCAGATTAACAGTACCATGAATACTTTTACCAGTATTAAATACTGTGAATGGACGAACCCCTGTTTTAACTTATGCAAATCCCTGGTTAAATAGAACATAATGTATTATCTATGGTTTATGGTTTCACAGTTAGCTCCTAGAATATACAATAGAAAATACTAATACTGATACTAAATCAACATTTTAATCAGTTTTGGCCAAAATTTATACTGGGAAAACTACAATGCTGGATATTGCACTACGGTAACTCACTTTTCACAGTTGTCAACATATTTCCTGTGCCTGCACAATGTCGTGGTACAGTATGTACAGCAAATGATATTTAAAAAAAAATCTGTTTATTATAATGTCATCAAAGTTTCCACAAAAAAAAACTAATAAAATAATTTCGACTACAGCATGTTAGAATTGCTTCTACTCAGTGTATCCTAAATGATATACAATGTAAGGCTAGTTTACCCCTGGGCACGTACAGAACAAATCATTCCAGTATATATTATACCTGTAAAAACTATAGGAGTAATATCTTACTAATAAAACCCCACCTCATCAGCAATATCAACTCGCCTGCATCACGAGATATATGTCTTGAATTGTGTATGCAATATAACATTACGTTCATTTGTCCAAAAGTCATAGAAAAATTCCCCAAAATATGCAAAATGTTGAAGAGGAAAATAGCATTCAAAGGTTTATATAAATAAAGGGATTGTTACGTAATTACTGTAAGAGTACTGATAAGTGACCATTCCTTGTTACCTTTATCATAGTCAGCTTGGCATAGTGGTCTCATCAACAAATCTTCACCAGGATTGGTCGGTGATACAGGAGGATTAAATTTAACAGATGCTTTAGTAAAATCAATTTCCTTTAAAATAGCAGGTCTGAAAAGTGGCGTTTCATCCAGAGGGCCATTCTGTTAGACAAAAAAATACTGGAATTATTTACAATCTCAAAATTATTCATAATTTTATTGTTCAACTATGAATCAACATCCATGACAAAATACTTGGATAAATAGAAGTTGTACCCACAATGCAACGCAATATCATTATATTTATCGGATCATCATGATGGATAGATTTTCAGTAAAATAAAATTGTACATGTACCAGCATCTCTAATATTATATGAGTTTTTGTTCAAAACAAAGAGTCAATATGGATGAAAACCCATCTTATAGCATAATGAGTATGATTTATTGTTAAATAAAAAGCTTGCTTTAGCAGCAAACATAGCCATTTTTCTTTAATGCAATAATGAAAACCTGATACCATGTACGCTTCAAATTACATGATATCGAGTAGGTAATTTTGGGGCACAGTGTACTCGATGTATGAGCTTCGCTGGTGGTGTTATGTCCCAGTAACATAGACATAGCAAGTTTACGAGACCCTGTGCTTTGGGTGCGTGAGCGTTTATGATTTACATTATTTCATTACTGAAAATCTGCTATATCTGCAGCTGAAACAAGATTGTATTATACTATATCAAAAAGAATTATTTAAAAATATTCAATTTACAGTCAACATAAAATTCTAGCTACATTTATAATTACAAAACTAGATTTTGAAAAATGCTTATATTTGTTGATGAGAAGTGTCAGTGAAAATGATGACTGGCTAAATTAATGTAGTGTGGAAGATAGAGATTTATTATTGTTATCAATGGATGATGAAACATAGGAGGAATAATACTCCCATCGGTATAAGCATATTGCTATGGTAACTAAAAAAGTGTTGATCTCCATCACCAGTGAACATGGTTGACATTATGACCTGCAATGCAATGACAAACCTGGTGAAGATTGAATGCTATAGTTTACTAGTTGAACACTATGATTTTCCCGCCAAAATGTTGGAGCAACATTTTTAGGTATATTTCTATAATTCTTTATTATTCATGTGCCAAATGGACATAATTTTCCATTGGCTGCATTGTCTTAATAACAAAAATTTCAAATATGGAAAAAATTATTAACGGTTTATTTGGCGAAAGGTAACTGAGCTTGACTTTGCTGTTCACAAGATGAACACGAATGTAATACTCCCATACTGTACCATAACCACAATACGAAGACTACAAAAATCATAAATGAATTTGATATAAATATGTGTTAACATTACCATATAGAGTGAGATGCTACTATAATACCATATTGATAAGTAAGTACTTTTACAAATAAAAATAAGCACACCAGCTGTTTATGTGTGCGAAGAGATTAGAGAATGTAATAATCTAATAACAACTTGCACTACCCTTTCAGGACAGGACATTTTATTTTAAATAATGGTTATATTGTTGTAGTGCATGCATTTGGTAACAACCATCCTTGAACAATTTATATTAAATATTAATTACAAATGGTAAATATATTGATAAATATTTGTTAGTACCGAGAGTATGTAAATCATTTTCTAACGTTTTCTTATTAATCCAGTGATTTTACAAGAAAACTGTTCTTCCGGTGAAAA